TAAACAATAAAAGTGTTAAAGTAATTTTTAAGAGAAAAAAATTCTTATAAATCTTTAAAATGTAATTTAAGATTGATTAGATTGGCAAAAATCATTAATCATTTAATTTGCTCGCCATATGATAATAATTTATCATTTGAAATCAACTTTTAACACTTCTAAAATGATCGAAAATGATTAAAAAAAGAAAAAAAATTTAAAATAAAAGTCAGTTGTGAAGATAAATTGAATTGAACGAATGAAAAAGATCGCTTTAACTTCATTTCACGTAAAAATAGGCAAATAATGTGAATGCAAAACGAGAGAATTATTATTATTATTGCGATCTCATATTTGGCCTTGAAGAGGCAAAAATCTCCTAACGATGGTTTTATCAATAATAATCTAACGAATGGCAATTAGAATGGAATGAATTTCAGTTTCGAAATCAGTTAAACGAAATGAAACGATTTAAAGATCAGAAATTTTTCGGAAAATCGGACATATCTTTGAAATAACCGTCTAAGAAATTAATTACACGCACATACACAGACGAGATGATTCGACTAATATATTATTTCGTCTTCCCATTCCTCCACCCCTCTCCCCTTCTATCCCCGTTATATTCCCTTCCTCCTTTAAAAACCCTCTCATTACAAGTAAAATTCGAATGAATTCGTTAATTTTCAAATGGCTCTTTTAACGAACGAACCTTATTTTAATAATTCGTAGAACCACTTAAATTAGAAAGTTTTGAATGTTTGAAGAAGGAAACAATCAAATTTGATGATTTTCTATGTCACCTAAGTAGTATCATTAAAAAATTTTTCTTTCCCATAATTTTGCATTCTACAAATTTTATATATTTATTAGCCATAAAGAATTTCGTTTCTTTCCTTTTTTTCCAGCAAAACGATTTGTAAAAGAATATTTTTTTTTTTTTTTTGCTTAAAAACTAATCAAATAAGATTAATTATATTAGTGTATTAGCGAATTTTAGCATTTTATAATTTTTGTAAAATTCTCAAAAAAAAATTAATCGAATATCAAATTCATTCATTTTCTATCTGAGAATGATCCACTGGTTTTTTTATAGAGAACTGAAATCTAAAAAATTTTTGATTTTTATCGTAATCAACGATTATCGATTATTATAGTATTACTAGTTTGATTTGGAGATAGGATAAATGAGAGCGCAGATGCTGAGGTTCAATTCCCCGCAGAAGTAAGCCTGTACAAAAATCCGGGTGATGCTGGCGACTCACCTGTGTTTCTATCGGCAAGGAACATACTGCATATTACTCAATGCTAGTGGGGCGAATTTAACCAATAATAGTGAGGACTCCTGAAAAAAAAAACTAGTTTGATTTATAATATCTATAAAAGGACAAAATAATAGATATGATATCTGATAATAGGTATGTGACATCTATTTGATAATTTGCAGTTTTTTTTGATAAATATTTTGTTTTTTTGATAAATATTAGGTCGAAAAAATGTTATTACAAAATATACTTATCGAAAGATAAACAACTGAATATAAAAGTTGGAAGTAGAATGGCTCAGAGGTTATTTTATTACTCTCAGTATGGAATTTTTCTAATGTTGGTATCTATTCGCAGCAGGAGTAATTTTTTTTTCAAAAAATCCGGTTGGTGGTAGTGATTTACCCATATTTCCTCATATCACCATTTCAGTCCGATAAAATCCAAACGAAGAAATTCTGAAGAAAAAAAAATGATGGAAAAATAAATATACCTCTAGAAAACCAAATCAGCTAATAAATGCTGAAATTTAATCAAGATCCACGAAATTTTACTGATCCAAGTCTCTATAATTTCCCATATGAACTAATTATTACTTTTAAAAACAATTGAAAGGCTATAAATTAAAAAATTTATAAGAATGTGGACTTCAAGAATTACATATACAATACAGCATATTTCGACGAATCGAATACTTTAAAAAAGGTTTAGCAATCCATATTACAGGTGGAAGAGAGAATAGAATGACTCAGTGGATTATTATTCGGTTCGGAGCACCGATGCTGAGGTTCCACTCCCCATTGAAGTAAACCTATCCAAAAATCAGAGTGATGCTAGCGTTAAATGTATTTCTATCGCCAAGGGACGACTTTTTGGCATATTTGTCTAGTAAATATATTTCTATCGCCAAGAGACGACTTTTTGGCATATTTGTCTAATTGACCAACTAGCCAATGGAGCGAGTTTAACCAGCAATGGTGAGAACTCTTTAAAAAAAAAAAAAACCAAAGAAAACAATAGAACAGTGATGGTCTAGATATACCATTTGCCTATTTTATTTGCATGCTTCAGAAAGATAAAATGCTCGATTGTTATGTTGCTTCGGCTAAGATCAAGTTATCACTAGATGTTCTAAACTGATAACGATTCTGATAAACTTATCATTAAATATGAAACCCGAACGGTGGTGAGGAATCTTTATTTCGGTCACCAATTGATTTTTATGCGAATATATCATCTAATCTTAATGGCCAATGAAGCCAGCGCAAGCGGTAAACGGTAAATGCTATAATTATAGTAATTATTATCACAAGAGAAATTAAAAGAAAAATTAAAATTAGCGCATTTCATGCTAGTTGGTCAATTTATTGCAAATAAAATCATTTTAAATGGTATTCTTAAGCTTTTGCTAAAAAAAATCAAAACCAAAATTACGAATTTCTCAAGGACGATTTTTATATTTCTTTTCAAAATTTTCGAAAAATTTAGCAGTTAAAATGAAAAATCTTCTCATTTCCTCATTTCTCATGAAATTATTTTTTAAATTTTCAAAATTTGTAATTTTTTTTTAGAGCGCTCACCATTTTTGATTCGATTCGCTTAGATGATTTGTTGGATTTAATAAATTTTTTCGAAAAGAGTAAAAGAATCGCTTAAAATGATAAAAGTAAATCACCAGCATTATTCAAATTTTTAATAATTTTAACGATAAATTTAATCTTTTCCGAGAGTAAAACGCCTAGCAATAGCATTGTTGAAAATTTCTTCTTCTTCAAACAGCTCTCACCATTACTGGTTTGGCTTGCTCGGCTGGCTACAAGAGTAAAATATCTCCAAGCTGCTTGATCCGATGCCATCGCTAGTAGTAATAGAAGCCATTCCTTTTTCCATTGTTTAAGCCCATATATTTTGAAAATTTGGACTCAATTCTTTATTTAATCCATTTTATTGGTTAAAAAATAAAATGCGATGAATGCGAATTTATTTGAATGAATGAATTGATAATTAAATTGATGAAATTAACTGAAAATATTTGAGTGATTCTAACAAAAAATGCACGTATATTTTTATGGTCAAATAATAATAAGTCTTCGATGAAAAAAAAAAAAAAAAGCCTAAATCAGCCAAATTAGAAAACGATGAATATTATTAGAAGAAGAAGGAAGCAATGATTATTTTTTGCATTGGTATTTAGCAAATCTTGGCCATCCGAAATAATCAAATAATTTCCTAAATTTCATTTTTTTTTTTTGACTCAAATTCAAAAATCATTTAATATTCTAAAAAAATTTTTAATTAAAAAACACTGGAAAACGTCTTTACTTTTCTTTTCTTTTGTTTTTTTTTACTCGATACAAATAAATAAATTAAAAATATGTCTGAAAGTAATTATAAATTGCAAATATTTCTTGTTTTTTTTTCGTTTTTTGGTAGAAATTAACATACATTTTAAATGAATAATTTTACAGATGTTAGTGAAAGATAAATTTCAAAAAAATAAAGTTTTTATGAAAAAATTCTCATTATTAAAATACTTTTAATAAAACTCTTTTAAAGAGGTCGCTTACAATTTCTGGTTCGACTCGCTTCACTGATTTGTCGGAACCGATAAATTTTGCTAGGAAGTCATATGGCGCTAGAAATACATGTAAATATTAAAGATTACACGGATTTTTAAACGACAACTTCAATTCAACGACGAATCGAATCATAAAATTAGCGCTATAAAAATGCTTATTTGCAACAATCTATTATGTAATTTTAATTTCTAAAAAAATTTATTGGAATGAATTTAATTAAAATAATTTTTAGAATATAGAAAGAAAGGCTTAAATTATATTTAATCCATTGAAAAAATATCTAATGAAAAGAAACGACTAACATTCAATAGTCAACATTATAGAGTTATCATACGGTATAAATTTTTCCGGAATCGAAAATTCCATTTTTTTTAAGAACTTCCAGAAAATTACGTAAAAATTTCTTTTATTGCTTATTTATTGCTATCATTAAACCATTCTATAATAATAACAATATTAATATTGTTGATTGTTTGGAGCTTTTGATGCTTTTCAATAATTCGGTTCTAATAATTTTATTATAGCAAGTTCATCAACAAATTCTTTCAACAAATGAGTAAATGAATATAATGAAATATTAAAAAAAAAGTTCAAAGTTGAATACTGGGGTCGAATTTACGACTAATTTCTGAAAAATTTAACCAGTATTGCATTAAAATATGATAAATATGATAAGAATAAATTTAAGATTGCCTGATAAGCCAGCAGAATGATAATTTATTAATCAAAAATGGCAAATTTTTTTTTTGAAAAAAATTACAAGTAATGATCTCCAGCAATAATTATTTATCACCTGATCACCAACAATTTATAGACTTTATAGGAACATTATCTAATAATAATAATAAGTGGATAATTCCCACTATTTCCGATTAGGCAAAATCTAGCAAAGCCAGAAATTTTCACAAGAGAGTTACTCAACTATAAAAATATATAGATGAGTCACCTACACTCGGATATTTTAATGGAAGATTTACATTTGTCAAATTCCAGCAACCATTGTGGTAATCTTAGCAATTATGCAGTCGGCTATCCTACCCCCTTCGGCAATAAAAGTTCATAAATTCCTTTTATTGAATAGTAATTCATTTGATAATAATGATAATGATGATGAATGGTTTTCCTTAATTAATTGAAGTGAAACTTTTTAAATAAATTTAAATTTTCTTTATCATTATCAAATCATTAATGAGACAATCTAAAAAAAAAAAATTTTAAATTGAAATAATTTTTGTAAAATAAAATAAATATTTTATTTACGAATGAAATAGCTTTTTTTCTTTCTTTTAAAAATAAAAATTGTAACAAAATATATGAAAACAGCTGGAAATATGAATGAATGTTAAATTGTTTGCACTAAAAAAAAAATTGACGCAAACCCATGTGATATTTTTATTATCGTAAATACTTTAAAATTTATATAAAGATCCTTGTAAAATGGAAGTTTCTTCCCAGAGAGATGTTTAAGCGATGTTTTTATTTTATTCTTACTTTAATTAATGAATTTAATGAATTTTAATGAATTTCTATACAATTTTTTTTTTTATTTTAATGAACTCCATTACATTTATACACACAAATACTTGAATATGAAGACGCATATAATGGAATAAAATTAATAATAATAATTTCAATAATAATAACAAAATAATAATAATAGTAATAATAATAAAATAAAGTAATAATAATAGTAACAATGACTAATAATAGTAATAGTAATAATAATAGCAATAATAGTAATAATAATAACAATAATAGTAATAATGACGATAAAGGTTTCTAATGAGCGACACTGTATTATTTTAAAATTCACAATTTTGTTTTGCGAGTACATTATTTTGCCATAATTTTTTTTTGAGAATCCTTGCCATTGCTGGTTAAACTCGCTCTGCTGACTTGCCACATTGGATAAATATACCAGGAAGTCCCTTGGCGATAAATGTACAAGTGAGTCATCAACATCTCCCGAATTTTTGGACAGGTTTATTCCTGCGGAGAATCGAACCTCAGCACCAACGCTCCAAATTGAGCAACAACTCACTGACCCATTCTATCCGAGAATATTTTATGTAAAAAGAAAATAAGAAAACGATAGTATCATTTCTCATAAATGGTTCAACAGGAGGAATTTATATTTGACAAATTTAATTCCTCGTAAAACTCGGAGGCTCTTTCAATATTGCTCGTCTTCAGCAGAAGTAATATTTGATTTAAAGAACAATAAATAAATGGTTTATTATCAGTTATCAGTGATCGTATATTTTTGAATTAGTTTTCTTATTATCATTATCATTAGTTTTTTCTTATTTCACAATTTATCATATTTATTGAAAAAAAATTTTTTAGATAAATGAAATTTTTATTGAATAAATTTTAATGAGGTAAAAAGCATCGTAAACGTTTCGAAAAAGTTGTGATAGGATAAAATGGCATTCGCTTCACTTATCGATTCTTCCAAGTCTGTTTTATTAAACTAAATAAATTATTATAAATCTGAAAGCCTCGAGGCAAATTATAGATTAATATGACTTAAATTGATTAAATTAGTGCCTTCATTTTTTTCTATGATTTAAATATTTTTTATTTTTTATGCGCGAGAAATATTGCGATTCACATTCGCTATTCGAATCTTCATTATCTTCATTAATCTCCTTTCTTTATTCTAAAACTCAAAAATCTAAATACGAATTATGCTCCATTATTATATGCAAAATATGCTAAAAAAATTATCTTCATTTTGCAAATTTCAATCGCTAAAAATATGTTTATATGTATTATAAGAAATTTATAAAGAAAATTTTTAATTATAATAATTAAATAAAAAATATTTAAGAAAATTTAAAAATGATTCGCCAGAAAAAAATTGAAAAAAAAAACCGATGTGAACCTTTATTAAAGGAAAAAATAAAGAGAAAAAAATAGAAAATAGGAATGAAAAATTAGAAATATATTCAATCTTAGTAGAAATTTGCGAAACGAATTTAAAAATTACAAAAAATTTAAATTCAAAAAACACCGGAACATTCTGGATATGCCAACAAAACTCGTCTGGGAATCTTAAATTATAATAATAAAAAAATGAATTAAATAGAGAGAAATATAAATGACTGGCGAAATATTAGGCATAAAAATTTTTAAAAATATCAGAACAATGGTCGTTAATTTTATAAAGTCTACCAAAAGTCTACCAAATTTTATAAAGTCTACTATACGCTCTACCAAAACTTAAATTCAACCCATCATTAAAGCCAAAAAAATATCATGCAATTTCATGAAAAATATAAAAAGTATAACATGAATATGTTCTTAAAATAAAAAACGAATTAATGGAACGAATATTTTTTTAAACAAAGGAAATGGCATTTAAAACCAAATAAAAACTACACTGCATCGAAAAATACTAGTAGAAAAATTTGTACAAAAACACTGGTCTAATATTATCCAAAATTATTCAATAATATACGAATCTCGGCCAATTAATAATAAATTATGGATCGACAATTTTTAAAAATTTTTGAAATAAAGCTTTTCCATCCATTTTTACGAACGTTACGAATAAACGAAGGATTTTACGACTTTAAAAAATTTGAAATCATCAAAATTACAAAAATATGAAATGTATTACAAAAATATAAAATTAAGGAAGAGGGATTTGAAGAGGCATTTCGACAATTTTGCTCTCCTTCATATATAACCTGTTAACAATGAATGAAGCTATATCTGGATTAGCCCAATAAGCAGAATGACTCTTCAAGACCGACCAATAGCTTCTATCCGTAATTTGAGGCTGTAATTGATAATCCAGTCGATATTGCAATCCTATAATTTTGATTTAAAAATAATAGTTTAGTTTAAACGAAAAAATTTGGCTAGTTGAAACATCAATAAGCTCACCTGAAATTTCTTCAATAAAAAGTTTTGAAGCAAACGGATTACAATTATTGGAAGATAGAAAAACTCACGACTTGAAAGAGGAATTTCTTCAATTATTTTCTGAGTATCACTCATTTTTATTTCCTCATTTTCTTTCAATAATTCTGAACCATCTTTTTTAGCTCCACCAAATTTCCACCAGCTTTTACGTTGGTCACCCGGATCGAGTGGAGGAGGAGTAATACTACGTGGAGATGAGCCTGGAACCAAATATTTTTTTTCATAACAAATATTGATAAATATTATTAAAATTTCGATCAATTGAAATTATGAAATTTTTGGAAAGATGATAGTCTATTTTACAGTAAATATTTGTAAATATTTTACAGTTTTCTTAATGTTGAAATTTTATTTATTTGAAATGTCATAACCATACATGAACTTGTTGGTCGAATGATGGATGACTCGTCACTATCGCATTCATCTTCATCATCCAAATCTTCTTGCTCTTTATCATCGTTTTGAACCTTATTGATTCGATCTTTTTCATTTTTCTCCTTAGCTTTCATCTTTCTTATATACGATTTGAAAATCTATAAATGATTATATCAAATGAAAAAGGCGTGATATACACATAAGCATAAGCATTAACCGAATAAGTATAGAATAAAATGAAACTCTAATTACTTCAGGCATTAACGAATCATAATCCTTCATAGCTCTAAGATCACACGATGAAAAGATTTTAATTGGTCGTATGAAGCGATATTGCGGATGTATTAACGGTTCGAGACGATACGCCTGCAATTTTTGCCAAAAAAAAACATTTATTTTGAAAATTGAAACTCTTTAGACTATTTTTTAAATAAATAAACTAATGAATTTTAAAAAAAATTTCACAATGATTTCTTTTCATGAATTTTCTTTTTCATTAATTTTCATTTTAATGATAATTGCTCTCAATAAAACTTTAGTTTATTTACTTTTCCACCTAATTAACATAGGAGAGAGAGAAGGGTAAATTCTGATTAAATCATCTTAAATTAAACTTTTGACCGAATAATCGATGTGGTAAACATTTTCAGATTTAAATCATAGATTATTATTTAAATTTATTTTTATATTATTCTCAAATATTAATTTTATTTTCAATTATTGAAAAATCCTGGGGGAATCCAAATAGCTAATTTATCGATGATAGTGGAACATTAATAATTTTCAATAACATCTCTAAAATACTACAAAAATAATTTTAATTGTCCGCAAAAGCCTTATAAATCGAAAAAATTAAAAATAATAAACTATATAATATATTATATATAATATATAATTATATAATATAAGACTTTAAAACATATTTAAAAAAAAGAAATAAAGCAAAAAATTGGACTAACAATTGGATCATATGGGTGAAAAATATTATATATTCGAATTTTATTTGATGATTCACCACAAATATCCAACATGGTACCACGTAATATTAAAAATACGGCAAGAGGTGAGCCAATACAGAACAAATTCGAAACCTATAGAATAAATGAAATTCAAATTCACTTTTCGAGTTGATGATTGATTCAATATGAGCAATAATAGCCTTACAAAAAAGCAATTCTTTAAGATGAATTTTTTAAATAGATTATTGATAGAAGAAACTTCTAAAAGTGATAAAATACCACAATAAACGATTGTAAGAAGAAATATTTCAAATATTTTAGATATTCATAAATGTGAAATATTAATAATGTGAAATGTTATTGGAATAAATGATAAAATCGAACCTTAAATTTCAGTTTTTCATTCGAATTTAGGAAAGCATTTTGAAAACCACCATATAAATTCAACAATCTAAAAAGAAAAATTAAATAAAATAATTAATAAATATATATATATAATTAACAAATAAAATTAATAAATATATATAATTATATATAATTAATACATAAAAAGTAATTAAAATTAATAATAATAAATGTAAAAATATTAAATGAGAATTTGTGAGAATTAAACTAATCCTAAGCCAAAATATATTATTAAAAATAAATAAATATTCAATATAAAACTTAAATATAAAACGAAATATAAAATTTAAATATGTCTAATAATGAATTTGATTTAAAAATTACATATATTAAATTTTTTGCTAAATTATATTTATTTTAAAAATAAATCAGTGAAAATATTACGTAAGAATATTTGATTTTAAATTCACTATATCCAATTATTCTTCTATACTCGCCTATTTAATTGAGAAATTGCATCGAAAATTCTCATTTAGGAGACGATTCTTATGGAAATGGCAAATCTAGTTTAATCAGTAAAAAAAAAAACCTATTCATAGATATAAATGCTTCCTAAATAAACGTAGGCATACATACCGTAAGCAGTATTCAATCGTTTGTATTTTAAAAGATTTTATGGCAATTTGTAAAGTGATATAAATGAAGTGATAACATTTTACAGCTAAAGCTTCAATAACGATTGTTTGAAATTTATACGCAAATTGTTTTTCCTCGGCTTAACAATCGAACATCAAACAAATAATGTGTCACTACATGTGTCAAATTCCTACAGAAAAGGTTTAAATTGGGAAAATTTAGATAACATTATTGAATTTCATTCATTTTCTTATCAGTTATTGATGCAATGATATAACTCAACTTTTGTTTGAATTCATATTTTTATCAAATATTTGAAAAGAAAAAGATATCAGTGCATTTTTTTGATCAACCATTGCAATTGCATCATTATTCACTATTCTGATAAATTTTGCAAGTTCCAAATTAGATTTATCCAAATTTCTGAATAAGTCATGGAATAAAGCAAATAAATCTAAGTCGCTTTTTCTTAATCCATGCAGCAGATATAGTTCTGAAATATCCTCATGAAATTCAAAATCAGAATATGATGCCAAGTTGATACCAATAAGGCAATGAACGCGTTATACGCGTTGAGTTAATAAGAGGATAGTAAATAAATCTACTGGAGATCAGAAATTGATATCTCTATTTGATTTCAAATATCAACAATCCTCTTTGTTTGTATTATCATTTTCGATTGAGGCTTAAGGCTTAAACCTTAAAACTTAAGGCTTCAGATATAAAGTAGCGATTTTTTAAATCTTTAATTTACCAGAATATTTTCTGTTGAATATTATTTAAAATTCAAAATGGTTTCAAATTGTCCTTTTTAGCACTCTCATACTTATTATTTGAATTAAATTTTTTTTATTGCTTTTTATTGCAAGCGGTACTTTTCTATTTAATTACTTTTCTAAGAAATTTCCCTTTGATTTTTCGTACTAACAATTTTTTCGTAATAAAAAAATTAAGATTAGTACAAAATATCAAAATAAATGAAATTAAAAATCATTTCAAAAAATTTATTAAAAATATTAATTAAAAAATAAATGTAAACTTTTCAAAAGGCATAAGAAATTGAGGTGGACCGCAGGGAATTTTAAAACGGGGCGTGGAGTGTGCATCATTAAGCTCCAAAAAATCCTCACCTAATTAAATAACAATTTTTTTTTTATCAGCTTCGTTAATTATAAATAAAATTATCCATCGTAAGAAAGCAAATAATAAAAGGCAACGTAATAAAAAGAAAAGTAATTTTTCACCAAAAAAATTCATTCAGTAAAATATAAAATATATAAAATATAAATATATAAAAAAATAAAAAAAAATAATATATAATAAAAATAGAAAACTAATAACTATTAATAAAGGGAAATAGTAAAGGAGAAAAAAAGTTTATTAAGAAAAATGATAATAACTAATATTATAATAATTGGAAAACACTTACTTTTGACGGGCATTTTGGAAAGCATGGAAGGTATCAACATTCTCTCGATTATCACCGCTTATATAATTTTCCTAAAAACTAACTTGATAATTAAACATAATAGTATAACTGCTAGCAAAATCCACCGATGCCATTACAAATCCATTAAAAACAAAAAATTACAATAATAGTGGCGACATATTTATCATAAATTACTAATGGAGACCAATTAGTCATTAGATCATAGCACATCACTGAACCAAGAGAATGAGCAAACAAAGATATAGGACCATCGAAATTCGGATGATTCTGCTTAAATTTAGTATAAACTGTATTTAGTGAATTCGTCAAGCCACCCATAATCTAAAAAATTTTTAATTGACAATTTTTAATCTTTAATTTTTAATTTAATTTTTAATTGCATTAAGTGAAAAAGATCAAATTGAATTAAGAAAAATTAAAATTATTATTTTTTCAGCAATTTTCTTCCATTTTCCATTAAAAAAATATCTGAAGGACATAAAAAATATTCCACAAGCAAAAGATTTTTCATATAAATCACAAAAATTTACGACAATCTTATTTATTCATTCGATAAAAAAACGTATAAAGAAGTTAAAATGTAGAAAAAATTCAAATAAGATAAATAAAAGAACCGTGAAAGAATTCACCCATAAAAGAAAAAATGCTAACCTCGTTCCTGTATAAAGGAGATTGATAATATAATATATCCATAACGGTTGAATTTAAAGCATGTCGCATAGAAGACATCTTCGGAAGTGTAACAAAATCGGTGAGACCTTCATCAAGAACTAATGAAGCTCGCCATTCAACAGGAAGAATCATTGGCCGACTTTTTTCCTCGGCATAATTTTTCTCCATGATTGAATATGCCGCTTCTCGTACTCTAGTAATGAATAAAAGAATTGTTTTTATAAAAAAATCACAGATTTTCATAAAATTATAAAAACGTACAAATCGGTATTTTTTGCGATAAGATTTTCATAGCCTTTTTGACCAATTCCATGAACGACAAGTATCAGATGACTTATCACTCTCGTCCCATCTTCCCAATCAGCTTCTTCATAACCACGCTTCAAAGATGTACCTTTTCCCCAGGTTATATATCTTAAGAAACGACTTGTTTTTGAATTGTTGTACAATGTGATATCGATAACTGAATTCCAGCGTACTTCATATTGGTCTTTTAATTTTAATTCCGTTAATACTGAAATAAAAATGAATCCCTCAATGAGGTTAAATACGAAATTACAATAAATTACCAACTTTTTAAAATAAAATACACTGTAAAATTTAAAAAAAATATTAAAAGAAATTTAAAAGAAAAAAGAAAAGAAATGTGGAATATTTTTTGATAAAAAAAGGACTTGGTTTTTTGCTGGATTCTTTATCAGAAAACACTGCTGTTTCTGGAATTGTCTGCGAACGGAAAATGGATAAGTGATGTTTTTCAATCGGTTCAGCCATGTCCTGATCAATTGGTTGCATACTTTCAGCAAGAAACCAAGTGCCTCGCCTTATTTCCATCTCGTCATCTGAAAATTTTTAGCAAAAAACCAATTTTATTGATAAGATAATAAAAAGAAAAACAATAATTTAAAAAAACTTAACAAAAATTTCATTTCAGAAAATTTGAAACTAAAAAAAAATTTGGAAGCTAAATCAATTTATTTTTATTTTTCTAACTCATTTTCAAATTAAAACTCTTATATTTAATTACATTAGTTAATTACATTAGTTATAATGTTATTTAAAAAATCTATTATTTTATTTTATTTTCTAAAAAATCTAATCTTAATTAAAATAATTTTATTTGCTTTTTAAAACTATTTTTTAAAAAAATTATCTTTCTTCAAAAAAAAATATATACACCAACCTTTCCAATAAAATGAATAAATATATGTTATATCATCCGAAACGCAATAAAGACCATCATGAACAACAAGAGAATTCGCTACTTGCATGAAGGCCATATTTGCCTGAGTGGCTTTGTCAATTTCGATATTATTTCGCTGTCGCCATCTAATCTCGAGTTTAAGCGAATCAACACCTTAAAATACTGAAGAAAAATTATGCAAAATACGGATTTTCAGTTAAATAAAAATGTATTTTTGAAATAAAAACTATTCGTAGAATTAATAATCAAATAGCCTAACCTCTGAATGAATTCCATTTAGTTTCTCCCTTTTTCCGATAAAACCATCGAACTTCAGGACACCGTAATTCAGTTACACGCCGTTTTTTATGTCTCGGTGGTACAGCTGGCGTTTCATCTAACTTTTGCATTGCAGCAATATTCGCTGCAGAATTTCCCAAATCTCGTCTTTCCGCCTTACTAGTAACTTCTGGCGACGAAAAATCTTTTTTTATTGGCAATTCAGCTAATGGAGTACGACAATCATCAATATTTTTTACTGCATCATTTAAAATTTCTGAAGCACTTGAATCGGAAACAGTTTCACTACCCAAATTGATAAATAAATTGCATTTCGCATCATTTTGCTCCATTGCAATTATTCTGAAAAAAAAATCACCTAAAAATTGAAAGTTTATATCGTAAAAATTAAAAAAATCGAACGACATGAAAATGCAAGAAAAAAATGCTTGAAATAATTTATAAAAACTCAAAATTTATAAAAACTTAATGAACGTCTCAATTTTAGTCGTTCATTTAAATATATTTGCTGCAAAGGAATTCAACAAATAAAATATTCAATTCTAATTTAACTAATGAGAAATTTAATCAATCGATCTTGGAATTTAGATAAAATATATGAATAAATAACTGATAAGAATGAAACTGATAAAAATCGAACGAAGAAAATACTTTTAAATTTCGCAGCCTTTGAATAATTCAAATTCCGAAAAAAAAACCTATTTAAGTTCAAAAATATAATTCAAAATCCATCAAAATTAAACGAAAATAAATTTCTGAAATTTTATAAAATGATGCAAAAAAATAATTTCTATGCATTTAAAAATCGATGTAAAATAAAAAGATTTTTTTTCAACAAACGTTAAATACACAAAATATGCAGAAAATTAGAATAAAAGATATAAAAATCATTTAAAAAATTTCAATTTTTCAAATCTGAAAATTAGAGTTTTCAATAAATTAGCTGCCTGCAAAATAAATTTTTATATTCACAATATTAATATTAAAAATTTTTTCTCTTCTTTTACGAATTTTTGTAAAATGAATTATGAATGTTGAGCAGAATCAGTGCATTATTAGTGCACTGTCATGAAACAAAATTTGTATTAAAAATGTTTTCTTTTACGAATTTTACGAATTTTTATAAATTATCATGAATTATGCGTGTTGAAACTAGAATGAGTACATTATTAGTGCACTGTCATGAAGCAAAATTTATATTCCTTTTTCTAAAAGAGCTCATTGCTGGTTATATTCGTTCCGCTGGTTTGTCGGATCCGAAAAATTTTGCTAGGAATTCATTTAGCAATAGAAGTACACCACTCGGATTTTCGAAGGACGCCTTTACTACTGCCATATATGTTTTTTACATAAAGAAATAATCGTTGACGAATTTTATAATTAATCGTTTTCTAACTATTAAATTTTTATAAACTGTGATAATAAATTGATGATAATTCTGTAACAATGTAACTTCTGTGATAATAATTCTGTGATTAATAATTCTGCAAAATATTGAAATAATAATGAAAAAATTTTGCTAAAATTAATGCAAAAAAAAACTAATCTTCCTTATTCAAAATTAAACAAATAAAAAATAATAGATTTTCCATTTTTCTGACAATTTTCATAGAATCCGATTTATAAATAATTTTAACTAAAATCGATTGAAATATTTAATATTCCGAAAAAAATAATTGAAAATTATCAAAAATAATGGAAAAGAAAACACTTTAAAAAAAAAAATCAAAATTTTCAAACCTCTTAAAATATTGATAAATCATTTCAAACCGATATTAGAACACATGAATGCGCTCGATTCATTCCAAACAAAAACTATGATAATAAATTGATAATTCTACTAATAACTACAAAATTATTACTAAAAAAAAAAAAATGAATGGCATATAAATCACATGCAAAGCCATAAACCATTCAATAATTCTACAAAACAGTAATGAAAAAAAATATTTAACAAGAAAATTTAAGTGGAAAAAAAATTTGCAATAAAGAAGAGTAAAAATTATCGTTTATCGATATATTTCAGTAAAGAAGAGATGAGATTTTCATGAAAGTAATATTTCACTAAAATAATTTTCAAAAAAAAAAGCTATAAAAAATTTTACCATAAAATATCAACGAATAATCCACGCGAAGAGGAAATGGAATCATTTTCTCGCGTATATAATATTTTTTTTTCCATTAAGAATTATGAAAGCCGGGTTTTCTTTAAAGTGGGTTAAACTAAAATCATTAGAGACGCTTTATAAGTGAAAATGGAAAATAGGACAACAGAGAACACTATTCTTTTCGCTCATTCCCGAATCGCCGTCGTTGATAAATTCTGAGATCGAATACGGGTTATGGGGAGGATGGCAAAAAGGAATGGAGATAAGGAAAGGCTATTTGGGACGATTTTGGATTTTTCTTCGGACTCCTTTTGTTTTGCTAGTCCCACACCTCCTTTTTTATTAGTTATTTATTTTATGCCACCTTTTGAAACTTTTTTTAATTTATTATTCTAATTTTGTATTTATGCACAAAGTAAATCCTATTTTATTTTTATAAAATGGTTATTCAAGTTTCAGAGTTTCAGACATATTTTCATCACCTAATTCGCAGTAGAACCAAAATAAAAGGGAACCTGGTAGTCTTATTTTTGGTTGCAAAAAAAAAGCGTTTAAATATGGAAAAAAATGAACCTTTTAATTCGAATGAATTTATATTAGATGCTTCCATTGTTCGTACATGGCACATCGATCGGAAAATTTTTTTTTTTAAGAGTCTTCACCATTACTGGTCAAACTCGCTCCGCTGGCTTGTCGCATTGGACAAATGCCAGAGAGTCTCTTGGTGACAGAAATACAGGCGAATCGCCAGCATCACCCGGATTTTTGTGCAGTGCAGGTTTACTTCTGCAGGGAATCGAACATTAGCATCGGCGTTTCCAATTGAGCAACAACCCACTGAGACATCCTATCCCCATTATTTATTGCTCATTCGGAAATTACTCACTGAGAATTTGAAATGGTATAACTAATTGTGGTGCTTCAACAACTGTGGTGGAAACTATCGGTTATAAAAAAAAAGAATTTCTGATCGATTATCAAGTAAGCGATCAACAAAGGAAACGTCGAAATAAAGTGAACTGGCAACGAATTCAAAACAGAACAATATCATGGGCCTTAAAGGTACTTTTAGGCATAAGCAGGATGTATTGGTCTTACAGCAAATATAGAGAAATTCCTTGACACGTTAAATTTATTGATGAACGGAAAACTTTCCCAGTGTATCAGACGAGAATTTTTTCTTAAGAATTTTTAATTCTTTTTTCTTACCTAAACTTCTTTCCGTTCATCCAAAGATGCACAAGGACGAGTTCTCAATTTTAATCTAGGAAGTGGTCCTCCCAAAAGGAACAATGATGCCATGACTAAAGAAAGAAACAACTTGTCGAGTCCAAAGTGCTCAATTTTTTAATTCAGTTTTTTGCGACTTTTTTGATAATGTTTTTCAGCGCATTTGGAACTTGCCAATGTTGTCGTATATAATCAGTTTTGTCAGACGGCAATCGAGAAAATTGCGCATATTTATTTTGGCTAGAAATAACTCTATAAAGAACTTTATAAAGTTCACTTTGCAAACATCGAAGTCGACTAATGGATGAACTGATGAGATTCCATTGAAAACTGGTTTCGATAAGACGTCTTTATTTCGAACGCTTCCTCAACACTGCTGAAGTACTTTTTTTTTAAGAGTCCTCACCATTATTGGTTAAACTCGCTCTACTGGTTTGTCGCATTAGACAAATATGCCAGCGAATGCTTTGGAGATAGAAATACAGGTGAGTGGTGGCCAAGCATTACTCGGATTTTTGGACAGGTTTACTCGTGCGGGGAATCGAATCTCAGCATCGACGTTCCGAATTTAGCAACAACTCACTGAGCCATTCTATACCCATTCTACGCTGCAGCACCTTAAAGTAAATTGATGTGAACATAGATTCAACGAATAATTAATTATCAGAGAAAAAATCGTTAAAGCATAACGATTTGCCGAATGATGAAAGATAAAGCCTATAAGTTAAATTAAATTCGGTTAGAATTCACAAAAAGATTAACGGTAAAGTAATAAACTTAAAGGAAATATAAGGCAGATAATGCAAAAAGGTAGATTTAAGCGAAAATGACTTTTAAAATAATCAACTATAAATAACTAACGATGATCGTCCTGTACGATCTATGCGAACCACCATTTTTATGTGGTTATAAAATAGAGAGTACTACTAAAATCTACTGAAAAATAATCATTATAAAGCAGATACTCATTATATATGGATAATGAGCGGATACAATTTCATACGATTTTTCACCTATTCAGAACCATTCATTTTAAAAACCACTCCTTTTTCATGTTCGCTCAACTACCATCTGTAGCCCAGCGATGTATAAGCCTAGATTTCTTCTTCTTCTAACAATTCTCACCATTACTGGTTAGGCTAGCTTAGCTGGCTACAAGAGTAAAACGTCTCTCCGAGCTGCCCGGTCCGATGCCATCGCTAGTAGTAATATAATCGTAAACAATAGAAAAAGGAGTGGTTTCTAAAATGAATGGTTCTGAATAGGTAAAAAAAAAAAAAAAAAGATTCGAAACGATGGACAGTATCGACATGTTGTTTCGATTAAGCAACCATCACAAAATACAATAAATATATTTTTTTATATATGAATAAAATTTCAGTCTCATCCAAATCTTTAATAAACTTGTCTCAATTGGTTGAAAATATAATTCAAAAAAAGAAAATTGGTACTCTAATATGCAGACGAGAGTAATTATCGTCAGAAGCGTTACGTCTCGAGTGCCAGAGAAGTTTCGGATGATCGGCTTTTTTAACTTGAGTGAATCTTTTTATTAAAATTATTAATCCACCTGTTGTTTTTTATCACCAAATGATTTCATGGCAAAAACTTCGCATCGTAAAAGCGAGCGGATCGAATCTAATAACCAAAAATGATGGATGTTAACCGCTTAATCCCAAACAAACAATAAAATACATAAGATCGCTAACTAAATAATATGAAAATTAAAATAATTTAATTAAAATAATAATTTAAAAGTTTATAAATTAATTTATATAAATATTAATTTATAATTTATATAAAGTATAAATTAATTTATATAATATAAATTTATAAGTTAATATGGTATTAATGGTGTTTTATTTTATCAAACGATATTTCATAGAGGAGAAAAAATCAACCGGTTCAAATTTTTTAAAAACTAATTGTCTATAATAAATCAAAAAATAGAAATGACAATATTATCATTTTCGGTGTTGCACCAATGAGAAAAA